AGTCTTCCAAAGAGTAACGAGCGAGTTCAAGTAGAAGACTCATCACATGATTACAGTATCCACTTTTGCCAGCTCTGCAAGTACAGTGTGCTTCCCGTACATTCCCAGATGTTACATCGAGTGAAACTTCTAGTTCGTGAATTTCTCGAGTACTCATGCTGGCACGACACTTTGCTTTTACCATAAACGAGTTACCAAATACCTTCGTATACACTGTGTCTGATGAAAGATACCGTTCTTCTTGAAATTTTAAGCCGCGCTTCAGGGTTTTTTTAATAGGCTTCGAAACGTCGTCAGCCTTTCGTTTGCCACTATTGTTCCGGTGTTCATCTATCTCTTTCCTTGTAAACACTGGCAAGCTTTTAAGAGACTTACACCACGGGATATCTTTCGCAGTTTGCGCCTTAGGCTTCTCGGTGTTGTCCGCCATGTTTGATGTATGTCCACCCGAGCCTCACTTTCATGTTTTCGCGCGCTTGCTTGTGACGAATGCGGGAATGGTCTATTATATATCCAAAACAACATTTTTTGAAGTAGTGTACAAACCACTTTTAACAAATAATGACAAGTATAGAATAGGTGTCTACCTGAAAGTATTTTAAATTTTCTGGTTCTTTGTCTCGTTGACTGTACTGTCCTTAGAAAGATTTTGATGATAAACTTCGTTTAAAGGCCGCATCACTCACAGGAAAGTCTGAGTATGGAAATTTTGTAGTATGCACTTCTGTGCGAAAACGTTTGTTCACTAATTACTAGCAGCTACTGGTAACAAACGACAGTAAGTCGTAAACAGAAAATGCAAACTCGCAATGTGGACTGAATGAACCACTTTAAATGTCATTCATATGGAAGATAACGTAATAGAGGGCCTGGGAATACAGCTTCACACTGTTACTATCCATATTCGTCAGTGGCATTAATTTTATAGCTTGCCTACTGCCTTGGTGACAAAGAAGCAATTAATTGTGGAAGAACATAGGTATGTTTAGCCTACTGTGAGGCCTCAGGAAGGAGGAGAAAGGCGGGGAAGTGGGTAGGAACGACCGACACCCAGTCTGCTTTACGTCAGAAATAACCTTGGCAACAAAATCAATTCAAACAATACGGGTAGTCTGGAGAATTTGTATGTGGACATTGGGGCTTAAAGGTTAACAAAGTGCTGTAGCGACTCCCAAAATCCATATGTAATTTCTATACGATTTAGCTAGTAAGTTTTCAGTATTTTAAAAACACTATTTCTCAAGCGGAAGCAACGATCATGACAACAACAAAAAAAGGAACACACCATTGCCCTGGTGAATTGGATTTAACCTTTTTGCCTACAAAGAACACTCTAAAGAGTATTTCACGAGGAATCAAAACACCAAAGAAGATTTTAAAAGACGCAAAAACATAAAAAAAACAGGGACGCCTCGTTTTTCCCCATATCTAATACATCTTCAATAAGTATTCCTAACGAAATATATATATATTTTAAAATCATCCGCTAACTTTCAAAATAAATTACATGAACAAAATACCTTAATCAACTCAATTCAGTGAAAGAAATGAATCACTTTGTCACAGAAAAAGCCTTTATTAAATCCCAAACTTGTGGTGTTGATACACTACACGTGATCTCATTGAATGCCATCTAATAATCATTTTCCCATGAAATTGCTTGTCACTGTTGTGCAGCGACATTTTTCATTGGCTGGCTTTGAAAATGACGGCGGAATGCTATTGCCACATCAATCTTAAAAGGCATTATGGGAACGGTAACAAATTATTTTCGAGCGAGACGATCCGAACTCGGTCTTAAACTGAGGAACTTTTGCCTCTGTTCGTTGGGAGACATGGGTTTGGGCAGAGAAAAAATGGCGGCTGGCAAATTTTATGTGGTTCATATGTAGATCTTTGCAACCACGCTTAGAACCGTGCAGTGCTTAATTTTAAAGGAACTGTGCGGTTTCCTGGCGAAATGACGTCTGTGAAACGAGCGCAGAAATTCCTTACTGATGACGCGTCACTACCCAAATCTGGGTAGTGCTTTTGATTGGTCGTGCCGCTCTTGAAATTTACTTCAACCTTTCAGAAGCACTACCCAGATCTGGGTAGTGACGCGTCATCAGTATGGAATTTCCGCGCCCGTTTCTCAGACGTCATCTCGCAGGGAAACAAGTGGTGGTGTGTCGAAATGACGTCTGTTTTCTCAAGTTATGCTATTTTCAGTTATTTTAAAGTGAAAACTTTGATGTGAATAGCGGATCTTTATTTCTTTGATCTGTAGAGCTCTAGCAATAATTACATAGATAAAACAAATACAAAAAACAATAGAGAATTCAAATGGAATTCCAAATATTCACAACTGATGTAAAGCCTAAATTACGCGATATAGCTATTTACAATAAAAAGCCTATTTACATGATAGATATAGCTATTATTGAGAATTAGCTAGAACCTTAGCAGGCGGACTGCTTTTGTAAAAGCTGACAATCTGCTTAGGGATCTTAAGGTATCAGAAATCTTGTTCCAAGTTATATCCTCCTAGTATTTTACTGAGTTCTTGCTATAACGAGTCGTATTAGGTTTCGGTGCACAGTAATTAACATGTTCTGAATACGTAAATCCACAAGGCTGTAATCAGTACGATAAAAAATTGTGCTAGTTTGATAATAGATGTCACTTTATATACAATGGAATGGAATTTCCAGCGTTCGAGTGGATACGAGTTAGCCGGAAATGAAATATTTCTGCGGCACGGGAGCAGTGGGGACTGAGGCGGTTTCTGTTGAAGTGCAGTATGGGTAGAATGGAAGGGATGTTTATTACGTGGGAAAGTATTCTAGGTAACCCACGTTATTTTTCCTATTTTCCATGTGACTCACTTTCAATCATGAACGAGGCTGAAGTTGTCAGAATTGTCGGGTCGTCTAGTGCAAAGAAAAACGAGAACCTTCTAGCGTCTGTGAAGTCGATGCTCGACGACTCCTTAAACGAGCTCAAGCGTTCACAAGGGGACACTGCAGATTCTCACCTCAAAGGAAGTTTGACGAGCCGCATCACTTCAAAGATAAAGGTAACGACGGTCGACGCAGATTTAACCTTAAGTCCGTGACGCCATTGAAGAGGGGAAAAAGGGAAGTTATTGTTGAAGAGGCAGAAACACATTCTTTTGGCCGAAAAGTCCAACTTTGGGTGGTCATTGATTTGAGAATACAAGCGAAAAGATCTTGCGGATCACTCCGATGACGAGACAAAGATTTATCAGAGCATAAGCCAGAGCGCTTACCCAAGTTAAACAGAGAGAGCGATTAAAGTAAAGGCCAACAAAGAGCAGAAGAGAGCCCTCTGAGTTAACGCCGGTTGCAGCCGCTCCTCCCAGCTAGTGTAGTGGGAGACCTATTCCCATAATTCAGACCAGAGTGGCACAAACTAAACGGGTTTCCTGTTTTGCGGGCAACAAACCTGGACATTGGAGGGCACATTGTCCTAATACTGCAAAGTTATCCACCGGTCATTTGCTAGCCGCCGGCGATCCAGAGCAGTTTAAAGTTGTGGTCAATTCTATTATTGTTTCAAATAGCCCTAATGACATTTTTCACGATGATTTTTCAAACTCAGATTATTTAAATAAGGCAGTCGAAGTAAAGTCACTGTTAAACAATGAGTTTGCTTCAGGGCAATATGATACTATGATCGATGGGTGAAATTAGGCGCTTCAGGGTTTATTTTACGCGTTATGCGCGGCGGCCGCTCATGAAATTCAGTTTGTGGCTCTTCCGCCCCCTAAAGTTAGTCTTAACAATTAACTGGCAAGGCAACACTTCAGCAAATAGTGACAGGGAGAGAACAAGCGCCTTGCATCTTTCAGGATTAAAGATCATCTTGTTTTCACGAAACCATTCACACACCACAAGTTCCTTGTTGAGAACACGTTCGACAACAGCTGGACCAGTATCAGGAAAATTCAGCTGATTGTAGACCGCTTCGCCTCTTTGATGAAGTAAAGTAAGTCATTAATAAAGATATCAAACAATACGGGACCCCAAACGGAGCCTTGTGGGACGCCGCTGTTAACTTATGAGGTATCACTTATAACGTCCTCCATTGTTTCTGTTGTTTGGCAATATGGTGCGGAGTTCGCTTGAAACACAACTTGGAAAGCCAATTCTTTTAATCTCTTTTGGTATGGCTGGAAGGTGAAGTATGAATTGTTCTAAAATTGTACATATGTAAAGTAACATGCGCTTGACTTGCGGTGCATCGGTTTAATCTGTTGAAGGCCGATTTCATACTCAACACATTTCAATTCACTTCTTTTGAATTAAGGCAGTGTTTATGATTTGTTAATTCATCACAAAAATTGATCCACAATAGTGGAGACCTCACTGAAATGACTTTAAAAGATGATTTACACGGATGTGCGGTTGAAAATTCCTTCGCCCGTACCCTTCTGTACTTTTTACAGGTGAGAAAACAGAGCCTCGTTAATGAGCCATCCGATTGGACCGAAATGCGCCTGTCGTCATTTTTTTCTCGCTTTCTTTGTCTTAACTCTCTGCACGATTCTATTCATGTCAAAAATGAAAGGAGGTGGCCTTTGGGTGTTTACATGAGAAAACGCACACCAACGCGAGTTCCATGCCGGGGTGAGTTATTGATTTATTATTGCGTTTATACGTTTACAAGTTTTCTCCTCATCACATGTCCATGTGACGACGTTATCTTGGTTTGAGTCCGGTGCATTACCCACTCCAGTCCAGCAGGAGGCCGATTTGATACGGAAACGAAAGGTCGTTCCTCGTTTACTGATACCGTTTGCAAGATCTCGCACCGGGATGAAATTCTACGTACGGCACAGCAACCGGGATGAACTCGCTCCGGTATGACAGTTTCTGGTAGTGTCATGTAAACGAATACAGAGCCACGAGAGGAAACCGGGGTGAACTCACCCTGGTATTATGTAAACATCCCCTGAATAACCACTGGGTACAAATATGTGCGTTGTGTGAATGAAT